CCCCGCCCCCGCCCGCAAGACCACAGCAAAAACGCGACGGCGCCGCGCGGAGTGTCAGAGTCTTAATTACACCTCAGCTGCGGGGCTCCGGCGGCCCAGCTGCCACTGACACCTCCACAAAACCCTCTTTCTACTCCAGCAGTAGCGGATGGCAGCCGAATGCCATGCTTCCCGCGCACCTTTCTTCTAATACCACCACCACTACCACACTACAGCGTTAACGACAAATTTTCCTCCGTCGTTATATCTGTCTCTTTTTTTTGTTGCTACTGCGCAGTCCGGCCCGCTCAGCCTGGGTCCTGCCAGGCTGCCGGGTGCCGCGGCCGCATCGGATCCTGGCAGTCGTCCTTTGATTGATCCATCCATGCTAATGTGGGCGCTCTGCAGCGCTCTGCAGCGCTCTGCTGCGCGCCGCTGCACCCGGCTCGGCGACACGGGGATACTTTCACTCAGCGACACACGAGCCGCCGCCGGCCGAAAAGATGACAGGTGATTTAAAGATAAGGGCCGAAATCGGGATGTCGCTTCGCGCCCGGGCTACTGCGCTTTTCGATTCGATTTCTTTTCGCTTACCCAATCCTATTATCGCCTCCCTTTCGAGAACGACAGGAAAGAGATGATAATAAAAATAGTAATCAGCTAGGACCTTTGGCGAGGCCGGAACTTATGAAATGAAAATCGAGACGGAACCAAAGCTCGACGACGCGGTTGGGAAAGAGGAGCAGGAAGTCGGCCTCACCTCCTCGTGCTCGGTGGTGCGCCTCTTCTCGGTGACGACGCGGCCGTCGGGCTGCAGCTCCGAGATCTCGTGCGTGTTCTCGGTGTCCACCACCTTCCTGCCCTTGGAGGACTGGTGCACGAGGCGCGGCCCAGAGTTGCGCGGGTCCACGACCACCAGCTGCCCCGCCTCGTTGCGCACCACCTCCTTGCCGGACAGCAGCGCCCGCCGCACGTCGGCGTCGTCCCGCACCGCCGCCAAGTAGCCCTGCGGACAAACAACAACAAAGCGTCAAACAAGGGAAAAAAAATAATACGGAATGTGTTAGAAAATTACATTCAAAAAGAACACATGTGCATGTTTTAAACCGAATCTGTGGTTTTGTACGCCACCGGACATCTTTGCGGTTGGTATTTAGCGAGGCATTGTTCAGCCATCAGGATGCGTTATGTTGAAGTGACGCCCTGGGCGCGCCAGTAAGCGGTCCTTAACGTATACTTTTAAATTTAAAATGCAACTTTCTTTTACTGACTATCCGTCTGTTTTATCGGAATATGACGGGGGAGGCTGGCGGTGGCGCACATGAGCAACGCAAGTGTCTACTACAGTCTCAAACGAGTGGGGAGAAGGAGAAAGAGAGAATGATAGAGCACAGGGGAGAAAGATAGAGAGGGTGGTGGGGAAGGTGTTACTTTCATTCCATTATGGAGGTGCTATGCACGACGATGATGCATCAGCATTAGCGCCGTCATCTACAAACAATTATGGTCACGCCTCGGAAGTTCCGCCGCGCGAGTCGTTGCTCGGCTCAGCTGTTACATGGCTCGGCTCGGCACTGGCTGTGCAGTGAACTTCATTTCAGCTAGTACTTTGCCGTACAAGGTTCGTCCAGTAAGGACGTCTACGTCGGTTTTTCTCAGATTCCATTCGGCGCATTCCGGGAGCTTAGCGCCTGCGAGACTCAGGATAGGCCGCCCCGCACGGCACGAATGCATTGCAAGCGATATGTTGCCTACCTACCAGGCGCTACGAGAGCTAGCAGGTTCATAAACGGCGAATAATGACATACGTTCTTTCTGAATGATGCCTATGGGCTACAATCACAACAAAAAAATCATTTTAGATTTTCTCCTGCTTTCCGATCGAGGTGAACAATCCCCTACTGTCTATTCCCCGCTCCAATTATTATTGTCTCTATCGTCGTGTCCACCTCGGAGCCGACCCGACCCGATCGCGCCCACCTCGGCCCAGGGCGCGGCTAACTGTTCCGTCCTTATCCCGTCCCGCCCACGGCCACGGCCGCTCCGTGCCCGGCCGGTCGAGCCCGTCGGTGACTTACGGGAGCGCGTCACCCGCCGAGGAATGCACCACCAAGACACGGCCGGGTGACTTGGCAGAGCCGAGAGGCTGAACGAGAGGAGACACGGAGCGATTTGTCTTAACCTGGAGGGTCGGAGGGTACTCATTTCCCGAGGAAGGTTCCTGAGAAGGTTTGCCAATTTCACAGGGGGGGGGGGAGCGTCGCGTGGCACCAGTCGTGATCGCCCGTGATCGACCGGGAGAGAGCCGCGGCCGGTGACCGCATCGCTAACGACGGTCGTCGGCGACGAGCACCCGTTTATATGCAGACGACCGCGCCTCGTCCGCATACGCGCGGCGGCGGTGGGCGCGACGGCCTGGGACTGCTCCCCGCGCCGTCGGGGCGTTCGATTCGAAAGGACTCCACTCGACTCCACTTCTACTCGAAACGATGAAGCGGGCGATTATTCTGAGCGGTCAGAGGCGCCTCCCGGACGATCCTCTCGTAACGACGCGGAAGCGGACAGAGGTGAACCCTTGTGTGAAAATGGTCTCGAATCAAATCAGGCTCAGCGGCATAAGCAGCAGCGGAGCAGCAGAAGACGCCGCGATTGGGTACATTGGAGCAGGAGCGCCGGAGCCGGGGAAGACGACACGGCGGCCTGTCTAGTCGGGTGTGACTCTGGGGCGGCTTTGGCTGGCTGGCTGGCTGCTTGCAGCAGCAGCACCAGCAGCAGCAGCGTGGCTCGCCGGAGCGCAGAGACGTCTCCAGGACGTTCGCATGGACAATTTATGGCTGGACTCTGGCGGGTATATTCATTGAGCGCCACGTCACCGGGCCGGCCACGGCAGCCCGTGGAACACGGTCCCTTACCGGCCAAGGCACCATCGCAAGGAGTAGTGTTGTTCGCAATGAGACATCGTCTAGAAACACGGAAAGGACGCGAAGAGGGGAGGGGGGGGGCGGAGGGCGTCACCTGACTGTGCTATTGTAGCGACCGCGGGTCACTGAGAAGCGCGCGGCGCTGCTTATCCCCAATTGCATCACGCTGCCATTCATTCTGTGGCCGAGAGCAGCATGTGTGATTGTGAAGCGAGGAACGCGGCTTTCAGCAGCGTGAATCATTCTCGTTACTCTTCGAGGAATGAAATTATTAAGAGTCAAGTAGGCGCTAAAGGAAAGGGCCAGTTCATAGGAATCGGACCCACACAGAGGGCTAGGCGCCGTTTGTTAAGTCACTTTGCCTTTCAACGCAAAGCCCATCAGAGCAGAGAGCGACCCCCTCGCCACCCTCCCTCCCCTCCCACCTGCCCAGCCGCTTGGCCCGAGTGAGGGCGTTGGCAAGGACATGCAGTGACATCCTTTGACGTCGCGCCCAGCCCCGCCCCGCCACGCACTTCCGTCGGACCGGTGTGGCTGGCGAGGCGAAGCTGGCCCGACGGCTACATCTCTGGGTCCCTCGGCGCGCCGCCGGACGGTCCTGTCCGGTCGAAAGCACGATGGGCACTCTCCTCTCGCCGGCGAGTGACACTCTCGGCGCACGCACTCGCTCGTGCGCACTCCACACGACAAGAGAGTGTCCGGCCCTAAGCACGCTAGGCACTCTCCTCTCACGCGCGAGTAAGAGGGAAACGAATAAGGTAATCCGGCAGGTGAAATTCGAAGAAATTCGAAAAAATCCAGGGTAATCCGGGGTCCTAGAGGAAACGCAACGTAATCCAGAGGATACTCCAGGGCTAGTCCGGGTAATCCGCAATCCGGCTGACAAAAAGGTTTATAGTCGTTTCCCTCTCGCGCGCGAGTGACACTCCCGGCGCACGCACACTCTACACGACAGAGTGTCCGAGCGCCCGGCAGGTCTCGGCGGGCCGAGAGCAGCCTTGCGTCACTCTGCGGCACCGGGGCGTGGCGGCGCGAGCAAACAGATTTATAACTGCAGCGTCTCGTTCAACCTGCCGGCCCGGCCTGGCCGAGGTCTTACGGCCCGCTGAACGGCGGCGCGCCAGGTGAGTTTCAAATAACGAGCGCGCGCGAAACTTGCAGCGCACAACTTGCTCCTCGCAGCCATTGACATCCAAACGAACGGCGATAGCGCAAACTACACTCTAACTGTCGTTTAGCAGGAGAGGCCCCCAGTTCAGCCAGCAGCCGCACCGACCCATCAGGCTCATAGTTTTGCTCTCAGGAAATAAAGTTGTCGTGATTATTCGTGTTATTCGTCCTGCTAATGGCGCTAATGATGCGCGCTAAGCTCGCCCGGCGCTCACAATGGGGAGGGCGCCTGTAGACAGGTGAGCAATTAACAGAGTTACGCTTTGAGGTCGCACGCCACGCCACGCTGGAGAGGTGGTCCCATTGAGGCGTCGTCGTTTGGATCCTCCCTCTCTCTTCAACCGCCTCCCTCCCACCACTTGCGTGCTGCCGGCAATTATTGCCCTCCATGAGCGCGTCAACAAATTCAGGGGGGGGGGGGGTCAGAAGAGGTAGGCAGCAATAACCACCAAGACATTTGTTTCAAAGCAACGCCTGCCTGCTCACGCACGCTCAGGTTTTTTCCTCCCAAAATAAATCTTGCTAACTTTCATTATGACCCCCCAAAATATAAAGCATCATACATCTGACGAATCTGACGGTGGCTTGAGCCCTGCCTGCTCTCTGGTCTCTGGTGACGTGTTCATGACCGCCACGTCCTCGGCGGCGAGGTGCGGCTTGTGCGACGCTGCCCCAGGCCCAGGGCGTGCGCGTCTTTGCCCGAGACAAACCAGGGCAAGAGAGAGAGATACGCGGGTTCAAAGACCCGCCCCGCCCCGCCGCGCGACGCCCGCCGGCTCCACCTGTGTTCTGTGGTGTTGTGTTTTTTTCTTTGCGTGACGTGAGCGCGTTTCGCAGACGTGCGCGCGATGACGCCGTCCTCGCCGCGTGGTGGAGGCGTACTCCCGCCGCCCCCCCCG